TCAAATTGATGTTGATCACATACTAATGTTTTCAGTTGTTGCCAAGCAGTTTTTATATCAAGCCAAGGATTTTTACACTTTCTTAGCTGCACATGCATTTCCAGCTTCTCTACAAGAAGCTGAGAGGGGATGCAGCCAGGACAGCTGACCAAAGGGACATTCCATACCATAAAAATGTCAGCTTAGTATATAAGTTGGGGAGAGTTGGCCGGGGGAGCTCTTGCTGCTTGGGGGCTGGCCAGGTGTCAGTTGGTGTGTGCTGAGCAGTTCTATAATTTTTTTTCCTATTGCTGCTTTTCTTTTCATTATGTTTTATCATTATTAGTATCTTAATTATTATTTTAATTTCATAGTATTAGTAATAATATTATTAGCATCGTTTTATTTATTTTTATTTCTTTTGTTTTTTAATTATTAAACTGTTCTTATCTCAGCCCATGAATTTAATGGAATCTTATCTTCTTCCTCTGATTCTCTCCCCCATCCCTCTGGGCTGGAGAGGGTGAGGGAGTGGCTGTGTGGTGCTTGGTTGCTGACTGGGGCTAAACCATGACACATGGGAATTAGGAAATGTTTTCTGTTCACTTAGTTTTTGTGGCATGTTTGTGATCAGAATACATGGAGTTTATAGCAGAGCACAGATTAAACTGTCAAAAAGATACCTGACACTGGGGATAGCGCAAGTTCAGCTCCCAGATTAAGATGCTCAAGTGGAAGTGGCCACGTGTTGGTATCTGCAGGAGTTGGTTGTCCTTTTGACAGAAATCCACCAAGGAAGTTTAGAGAGCAATCCATTTTATGAAATGTAGGAGTTCGCTTTAGGGCAAGTTTAATTGATGTCTGGGCTCTTGACAGTATTAACTAGGTTTTTATTGTCCGTGATGGGATTTTAGGCAAGTAGTCTGCATCTGTGTACTGGATACAGACTTGGTGTCCAAAGTGACAAGATGGTTTACACATTGCTGACCTTTCTCTGTTTGGTTATGCGAGTTCTGGTTCATGTTACACTTCATTGTGTGTAAAATCTCCTTCGTGCTTTCATTAAGCTGCTGCAAAGTAACATATTCGCAAATGTGGTGATAGAAAATTAACATTATTGTAGATGAAGCAATGCTTAAACCGGCACCCAGAGTGAAAATGTGTGTCAGTTAAGTGTTTAATTACCTTCGTGCATCAGCCATAGCCAAACTGACAGCTGTAACTGGAGGACAGAAGAGTCCAACTTCTGTATGTCCATACTGAACCATAAATATAAATACAGCCTATGTTCTGATAATGTTGAGAGCCACTTATCAGGAAGTGACAGCATGTGGCTTAGGGCTCTCCATCCCCTGTGCAAGCAGCCATCACGGGGGAGTTCTCGAGCCCTTCGTGGGCAGACGACGGGGCTGCATGACCTCACACGTGTGGTGTGAAGGGCCGAGCCAGATCCCGGTGCTGGTCCAGGGTGCCTGCCTGGTCGGCTTCCCCTGCAGCCAGCACTCCGGCTCCGCACTCAAGCGGTTGGAAAACGGTACTCTCAGGAGCCCCATGTTAGCCTGTCTGAAGTGGCCTGCTGAAGAGGAAGTTTAATACACTGAAGCATCACAGCAGTTTCCCAATATTTAGTGTGTTGTGATCACTGTATTTACGTCCTCTTTAAGCATCGCATGCGGTCCCTTCTTTTCAGCCACTCTAACGTCTGTTGCCCTAACTCCTGGGTGTCATTGCTCCAGCATACAGAGGTTCCTGCATCCCAGCCTGCCTGACATCCGACACTTGCCTTTGACAGTTTGGCAGGCATGAATTTAGGGGCAAGATAAAGGAAGAGGGGCTGGATCCAGGTGGTGTAGTATCTGCGAATGGAAGAATGCCAAATGTCTCAGCAGGCTGTCAGATGCTGTGAGGATGTAAGAGCCTGTTCCCCAGTAAATCAGACAGTAGCATACAGCTCCTTGGGTGTTAACTCCATATCACTTTGCACAGGGAAAGTGCTACCACCAACTTAGAAGGTATTTAGGATGAAACATCATCTACTGTAGTCCAAAGGAAAGAAGGTGGTTAATATCTTTGGTGATATGGGGATGAAACATGTAAAACACTTTCTGTTACAAATAGCTTACCAGTTTATCAGCGACACAGAAGGAATCGGAGGGCGTTTGCAGCAATGCAAATGTTTGATATTTTTTTCTTTTGCAGAATAAAGAATTTTTACAAGAGAAGATGTTGCAGAGAGCACCAACAATCACTGAAAGATCCAAAAAGGTACTGAAAACCTCCTGGGCTCTTGCTGTTACAATTGTACTAGGTTTTTTTTTTTTAAGCTTGTGTTTACATTTTCAATGAGCATTATTGCAGTACAGCATTTTCTACATACAGCAGTAAGCATTTCAATAAAATACTGAAGCACACTGGCAGACAGTGCATGCTGAAGGTGCTCTTGTGCTGTTTCTCCTAAAAAAGATCAAGTGTCGAAACTGCTTGGCATATCAGTTCTCTGTCTTTGCCCTGAGCAGGTCCGGAGAGTGCCAGGTTCCAGCGGACGTCTTCATAAGACTGAAGATGGTGGCTGGGAATGGAGTGATGATGAGCTTGATGAAGAAAGTGAGGAAGGCAGAGCAGCAATTTCACAGCTCAGGGTGGGTCGTCAAACCCTAATAGCTCTACTGTCTGTTTTGTTTTCTAACTGTGGTAAGTCTGAATATCCCTGGGAGGCAATATTTAGGCAATATCCTTTTTCCTTGAGACTGTAGCTGAACTGGAGAAAGCAGATCGAAGGCTGAAGAAATTTGTATTGATCTCTGTTCTGTCATTCTGGGACACAGCTGGTCTCTTTCAGGGATGCTGAGCATAACTGGGAACATGAATTCAGATGGTCTGCTCCCAGCTCAGCATGCTAATTCACTTGAGCTAGGATATTCCCTTTGTTTTTAAGGGTGCTGACTGAGCTGCTTTCTTCTGGAAGTATCAGGAGAGGTTTTGTCCTACTGCCCTCTCCAGGATGAACTGAAATCAGTAGGGCCTGTGCTTACGGCCGGTATCCAAAGCACACAGGGCCTGGGTCTGTCCTCTCAGTTACACTGAAATTGTTCAGTCCTAGTAGAAAATGTTACATCCCTGAAATCACAGGGAGTGATTGGTCTAGCACTTGGAAATCTTCCCAAAAACACCTCCCCCTCTCCTAACACGTACACAAAAATCCCCAAACCCAGACAAACCCAGGGAAACACAGAGAAGTAAGGAATAGCAATCGATTAAGAGTGCAATAAATTTCCAGATTGTCTTCCTCCCAGCAGTTGGTGGTGTGGATTTTGACTGTAGTGGCTTGCCTGTTCCCTCTTCACTACAGCAGGTAGCTTGAGGAGAACTATGCATTCTAATCAGGCTGGAATTGCATTAGTGGCACTATGAAGGATATTTAGAGGAAGCTTTTCAATATGAAAGGGAGGGGGGGGAATGCCATATTGGTTTGAAGCATTTATCCCTTGGCAACTTTAACTTTTCTCATTCCTCTTTCATTGCTTTTTCTTCTACTGGTGTTCTGTATAGACACTTGAATATTAAATGCTAGATTTTAGCATCTTTTTGGCATCCTTTGAAATGCTTGGGTTTTTAAAGGCTACTATTGATATAGCAATTCCATACTTTGTGGCAACAACTGTTGTGTTTTTCTAAAGAGCTTACTCTATCCAGCTTTGTATTACATGGCCACGGAGCATCTCATGGTACCAGGTGAATACTACTGAAATTCTTGAACCTTTATAAGCTGGAATCTTCTAAATTCCTTTTGTAGGTTAGAATATAACCAAATGTTCAGAGGGAATATTGTGAAGACCCTAACGCTGTTTCAGAGATGACTTAGAACTTGTTCTGTTGTGTCTCTAAGCTCAGGATGCTGTGACTTAGAGGTGTTTACTCTGTTTAGAACAGTACTTGTTTCATTCCTCTTATGCAGAGGTCAGATTGGCACACAGGTTTTTCAAGCTCCTTTTCAAGTCAATTATTTTTTCTTGGAACTTTGGCATATTTCTGTATACAGCTGTCTGTTCTGATCTGTCTAATTCAGGACGTGCTTGGCCTTTACTTCTAGGTCTCATGTTCAAGGCACCTATAATGTGGGTATTGGAGCCTTTAATATTGGGTATTGGTATATAAGTTGATCTCAATTCAGTTACCTAAATGGAGATGTATATTGGTATTTTGGAGGCACCCAAAGTAGATATAGTGCAGAACTGAGATAGCTGTACCTTTCTGGAGGTCAGGAAGGGCGCGATGGCATCTTAGACCTCCCTACGTGTCTGCTTAGGTGCTTGAATCCTGCCCTGGGAGTCTTCTCTGTGCGCAGCTTTCGAGTCATTTTCTTCAGCCGGAAGATAAAAGGCTAGGAACGCCTGTGCACCTCTTGCATTTGATCCCTTTTCGATCAGTCTTACGACTTGTATTTGAACTGCCAGTGTTTGCCATGAATGTGGTGCTGTTAGTGAGGACTGGTGTTAATCCTGTGTTTTGGCCGTGTTTCAAACACAGGGTGTAAATTCCACCTGCTGTAATCCTTCTGCAATTTTAACTAAGTTGTAAGATAGAATAACTTACATTAACTAGATGTCAGGGTTGGACTAGATGGATCTTTAAAGGTCCTTTCCAACC